TGAGGGCCCCCACCTTCAACACAGTCCTTGTACTCACTCCAGGAGAAGCTTTCAGTTGGAGGTAGACCCTCAGCTGGAGGTTGGAGCCCACTGGGGAGCTCTCTTGCCTGCTTCTTAGTGGCAAGAGCCTGCTCCTCATACGTCCTCACTGGCAAGGTTCCCTTTCAGTTCGGCTTGCCAGGGCCCCCTGGGCCTCCCGGTCCCCAGGGCCCCCCAGGCCCCATCATCCCACCCGAGGTGCTGCTGAAGGAGTTCCAGCTGCTGCTGAAAGGTAGGGGTGTGCACCAGCTGGCACACACCCCCCGCACTGAGCTGGGCCTGGGAGGGTGTCCCAGGGAGCCGACAGGGCCAACCTCAGCACTTCCGCAGGCACCCAAGGAGGCACCTGCTCTGGGCTGGACTCAAGGACAGTGGAGCTGGCCCAGGTCCAGTCCCTGCCCCGTCTTGGCCCAGGTCTGCCAAGGGTCAGGGCTGGGGGTGGCTGGGAGTGGGGGACCATGGCCAGGAGAAGGCTTCACAGAGGAAGGTGGACCTGGCCACTCAGCATGGCAGGTGCTCAGGGACCAGCGCCCATGCCCTGCCTGGAAGTCAGGAGAGCCCAGTGAAAGGCAGAGGCTAGTGTATGGGGCAGCACCAGGTGGAGCTCGGCCTGGCACCCACAGTCACCACTGGCCCAGGCTGGGGTAACCTGCGCTGGAGGAGGCAGAGCTGAGTCGAGCTGCGGAGTCCACACTGAGGCCTGCTCCCGAGCAGTGGCTCACATTAGTCATTAGAATTGAGCCTTTTTTCCCTTTTAGTTCAATGTCCTGTTCATTTAAATATAGCACCTTCTGCGCTGAAGAACCTCCTTGTACTTCCAGTAAAGTCGCAATCCCTTATTTTGCCCCCAGCTTCTTTGGAAAATGTGGGTGGGGTAGAGGTGAGGCTGGAGACCAGGCGCGCTGGGGCACTTCTGCCCGAGCTTCCCAAATGGTGAGGGAAACGGAAGCCGCTGCAGGGTCAGGAAGCAAAGCCTCCGAGGCCCTTCAAGCAGAGGGGGCGTCGCCCTCGCCCCACCCTTGCGCCGGGCAGGCCCCTTGTCCCGCTCGCACCTGTCCCGCTTGCACCTGTCCCGCTTGCACCCACGCGGCGGGCGGGTGAGGGGTCCCCGGCGCGCAGCCACCGCTCGCTCTGTGCCAGGCGCTGTGCGGCAGCGGGAGCGCGTGGAGCACGAACCCTGCACATGCGGCCCCGCCGGGTCCGTCGCTGCGAGCCTAGCCCCGGTCTCGGCCACCGCCGGGGAGGACGACGACGACGCGGCGGGGGACGTGGTGGCACTGCTGGCCGCGCCCCTGGCCCCGGGGCCGCGGGCGCCGCGCGTGGAGGCCGCTTTCCTCTGCCGCCTGCGCAGGGACGCGTTGGTGGAGCGGCGCGTGCTGCACGAGCTGGGCATCTACTACCTGGTGAGTGTGGGCGCGCGGGAGGGCGGGTGGCACCATGCGGCCAGGCGGGAGCCGGGATGACCATCCGTGCCCCTCGCAGCCCGACTCGGAGGGTGCCTTCCGCCGCGGCTCAGGCCTGAACTTGACCAGCGGCCAGTACAGGGCGCCCGTGGCTGGCTTCTACGCGCTTGCCGCCACGCTGCACGTGGGTGAGGCCCGGGGCGTGGGGGGACCGCCCACCCCGCCGCCTGCCTGCCTGCGTGACCACGTCCCGCCCTCCCCCGCAGCGCTCGGGGAGCCGCCGAGGAGGGGGCCGCCGCGCCCCCGAGACCACCTGCGCCTGCTCATCTGCATCCAGTCCCGGTGCCAGCGCAACACGTGAGTGCATCCCAGCCCGGACCCCACACCCGCATTCGCTTGGCCCCCACAAGCTGTGGGTGGTTAAACAAGGCACTGGGCGGGGCTTCCACCCGTTCCCACCCCGCCGTGGCCTGGGTGACCCCACACCTCCTTCCAGGTCTCCTGGTCTGCTCCTGCCCCGATCAGGCCTTCCCTTCACAGCAACCAGGGGCTGTTAAAAATGACCTTTCTTTCTTTCTTTTTTTTTTCTTTTTTCCATTCTCCTTTATTCCATAAACACCTAGTTACAAGTTGCACAAATCAAAAAGTAAAGGCAGAGAAGGGTTTAGGGAAGATTCTCCTGATGTGTGTGGGCAGGAGTAGGGAGAAAGAGTTGGGAACCAGTCTGCTCCTTCCACAGCCCTAGACAGGGCTACGGTCCCTCAGTGGGGGCTCTGAGGAAGAGGTGGGCAAAGATCCAGGGTAGCTGAGGGATGGAGGAGGCCCCTAAACCCAGAGCTCACCCCAAAAGACCCTTCAATGCATGGCAGGAGTAGAATGGGAAAGGTGAAGGGGTTTGAAGATGGAGCAGCAGAATGAAAAATCAAGTTAGTAGATGGAGAGGCGAAGTCATCATGGTAAGGGGATTAAAGAAGGAAAAAGTAGGAAAGGGTGCCGTGAAAGGTTCTCCCTGAGACCCCCAGGGAGAGGTGGGGGCGAGCTTGCCTGTTAATTTAATATTAAATTGGGGATGGGAATCAGAGAGGAAAAAGTTATTCGGGGGATGATTTCTCAGCCTCTCAGCCTGTACAAGAGAGGCTGAGGGCCCGGGGCCCTCACCAGTCATAGCGGCGGGACTGTCGGGAAGGGGAGTCCTCAGGTCCCTGGATGGCCAAGCGGGGAGGCCCGTCCGCCCTTCGTCCCCCCGCTCCTGAGGACTCAAGCCGCCGAAACTCCAGGGGGCGCTGCTGCCGGAATCTAGGCCACTCCCTGCCCAGACCTTCACCTCCTCCCCAGGTCCTAGGAGGCCCGCCGCCTCCCAGCTTCCCGCCTCCTCCCAGCTTCCCGCCTCCTCCCAGCTTCCCGCCTCCTTCCCACCCCGGGGACTTTCATCTTGGGGCCCGAAGCACCAGTGTTAGCACCAGTGTTACTCCAAGAGGCCTCTCCAGACAGCTTTCTGGAGGGCCCCTCCTCAGTCGCCCTCCCACCCCTCACCCGGGAACTTTCTTCCCCATCATCGCATCCCTTGCTCCTGCACCATCTGGCTCCTGAGCGCCGTGACTGAGCTCCCTGTCTCCCCACACCCAGAAGGCAGCCCAGGTACAGCGGAGATGCCCTGCCGATACCTGGAGCAGACGTGAATGAAGGGATCAAGTTCAGAACTTCTTAGTCTGCCTTTGAACCCCCAGAGTGTGTTGGCCTGAACCAACTTTTAGCATCACCTTCCACCACACCCCCACTTCCGGCTGTATCAGCCAGTGTCCTGTTTCCCATCGGAGCCAGGGCTTTGCTGCCCCTTGCTGGTCCCTGGCCTTGCCTTGCCTTTCCCAATACAGCAAGCATGCCTCTGGCCCTGTATCCTGCCTCCTTTTGGGGACTCGGTTCAGACACCACCTCCACTGGAAGACCTGGCCAGGGCCAGGCACTTTGCTGGGCATGTGTTGGCTGCTGGCAGGATTGTGTGTTGTGGGTGAAGTTGGTGGGGTCTCATGGGGAAGGCTGACCCTCCTTCTGTTTTGGCTACAGCTCCCTGGAGGCCATCATGGGCCTGGAGAACAGCAGTGAGCTCTTCACCATCTCCGTCAACGGCATCCTGTACCTGCAGGTGAGTGGGGCAGGCTTGGGCATGGAGGGGCACCGCCTGGGCATGGCCACGGGTGGCTGGGTGCAGAAGGGTGCTGTTAGATGTTCAGGATCACCGGGTGTAGCACCCTCAGACTCCAGGCCTGGGAGAGGGTCCAGGACATGCCAAGTGCTCACCTTGGTCTGGACACAGCCAGGCTTCAAGTTCTGATCTCCTTCCTCCAAACAGCCTTTCCCCCAGGGCACCTGCCCACTTGAGCAGCTGCTCTGCTCTGCAGTCCCAACATTCAGACTTCCTGAGCACCTCATTCTGAGGCCGGGTACTCCCGGCCACCACAGGTCCGCTGAAGGGACCGGTGGAGGGAGGGAATGGAGGCCAGGCTGACTGCCCACGCTGACGCCCTGAGTCTCCTGTGACTGTGAGAAGCCAGAGATGTTATTTTCCTACCTAAAACCCTAAGTGACCATCTCTTTCTGGCACTGGGAATTTTGGCAAGTGGTAGAGAAATGGACAGAAAGATGGAATTTACTAACAGAAAACAATTGAGTGCAGGTGTGTGGAGTAACAGCTGCTATTGAATTCTCCCAGAGCTTTGGAGAAGGGAGTGCTACTCCCCGAGTTAGCCCGAGTTCACATAGCAGAGCCAGAAATGGAGGCCAGGCCATCTGGCTCCAGAGTCTGTGCTTGCTGAGGGGCATTTAGAGTTCCTGTCTGGGTGCCGCACATCGTGCTTGGTGAACTCAGTCTCTGCCGCACCTGGATCTTAAGATGCAGATCCTGAGGCAGCTCTGGGTGGATCCCGGATTATGCATTTCTGGGAGTTCCCAGAGAATGTGATGCTGCTGGTACATGACCACGTTTGGAGCAGCCAGGCTAGAGTGCTGGTTTCATGGAAGGCCCTGCCAAATGATTGCAGGGCCAGGCCTGTGGGGAAGGGCCACCCTCCCACCTGACTTGGAGCCCTTACAGGCTCTGAGAAGCCCTGCAGCTGAGAAACCTGTTGGACTCTTGAATCCCACTCTAGCCCTGAGCAGGGGCTTGCTCCCACACGCGCGAACCATAGGGCACTGCAGGGAAAGCAGGAGAGGTGCTGCGTGGGGCACAGGGCCCAACCCACGCGGGCCCTTGCTCTGTGACCTTGGCAGCCACGTTACTCTCTGGGCCTGAGCCCTTCCCATGTGCGGGACTGAGTGGGCAGGAGGGAGTGTGGCTGGCTGGCCCCTGGGTCGCCTCTGCAGGCTGTTGGGGTGGCCCAGTGCCTCAAAGGCACCCTCCTTGCAGGTGGGGCAGTGGGCCTCCGTGTTCTTGGACAACGCCAGCGGCTCCTCCCTCACAGTGCGCAGTGGCTCCCACTTCAGCGCTGTCCTCCTGGGCGTGTGAGCAGCCACCACAGTCCCTTCCTCTCAGGGGCAAATGGAGCACAGGTCTAGACAACGTGTGGACAGTGTCGGAGTAGCAGTGGCCACATGCAGGAAGAGGCCCACCCGGAACTCTGCCCACACTGGCCACTGCAGTTCAGCTCACAGAGCCACGGCAGGCAGGCCTACGGACGTGACGTGCACACTGGTGGTCCCGGAGCCAGGGGTGATTCAGGACACCATCTTGAGCCATTATCCCGGAAACAGTCGGCATGCCTGGGGACACCTGCTAGTCCCCAGCTGCAGGCCGACTCTTTCTTGGCCTGCTCAGCACCTGCCCAGATGGCCTCTTCGTCTTTCCTGCGCCCAGCCCCACCTTTTTCACCTCTCTTCATGTTCTCATGGAGTGCAGAGTGTACCAGCCAGGGCCCCTACCTGGAAGAGGGTCAGCTGATGCAGGCCTGAGGGGGCTGCCACAGGGAAGTACGCCGTGTGTTCTTACTGCTCAGAAGGGACAGGGTCTCCCACCAATCCCCTGGTCTCCATCAGCTCCTTGGTCTTCCCTGCCCCTCCCCTAACTGTGTTCCACCTGCCAGTGGAGCTGAGCACTGCTTAGCCTGGGCCAGAGGGACACTGGACAAGGGCCTTTGGGGGACAATGAGTCTGGGCCCAGCTTCCAGTTCTAATGTATGCAAGATTAACTCACAAATTCACCTCAGAAGGCCTTTCCAAATGAGAGCTCTACTCTTCCCCTCCTCTGCCAATCTCTTCACAGCCAAGGCCCCTTCCACCCTCTCCAGAGGAGGATGAGATCCCTTTTCCCCTCCCCTCTGAGGTGCTGACTCACTGCTAGGATCCACCCACCAGAGGAAAGATCTAGAACATCTTGACAGATTGGAGACAGCCAGGCCTGCTGACCCATCTGAACAGCTGAAGCAAGAGACTTCCACCAGGGATGCCAGGGCTTGGGTTGGTCCAGCGGCTCTGGGATGAGCCTCCCAAGCATCTTTCCCACTTGGGTGGCGATGCGGCTAAGATTGGACAGGTGGTGGATGAGAGACGGTCCCGAGAAAGGGTGGTCTCGGGAGGGCTGGTCTCAAGCCTGCTGTGCTCCTGTGGCAGTGATGGGGCCTGGGGATGGGGATGGCAGCTCTCATGAGGAGACCTAGGCTGTGAGCCCACCGCCTCCCACATTTTCTCTAAAGTGCAGGACTGTCTGAGGGTAGGTAGTGAAGAGGACAAGGCCCTCAGCGGTGACCTCCACGGCCTTCTACCTGCTGAGGAAGAGTTAACCCACTGCCTCCCCAACATAACAGGCTATGAAGAACCTGGTGCCTCAGGACCTCCTGGGAGCCAAGCTGGTCTGGCAAGGGTGCTCGGGCCTGGGAAAGAAGGGAGCAATGGCCAGTCACCTTCACCTTCTAACTGGCCTTCGGATGAGGTGACCACCACCAGGCCTGAATGATCCCCAGGAGCCCAGCTTCCAAACCCCAACTCCGAATCAAACATCTCCATCCCCGAGTGCAGTAATACACAAAAACCAACCACTCTGCCCTGGGGCAGGCCTGGCGCGATTCTCAGTAGGACTCATACCCACCCTACCTAGAAGTACTGGGCTGGCCTGGGTATTGCATCCCGTGCGTTTTGATAAGGGGGTGATGTGGCCACACCCTTATCTAGATTTCACTTTGTATCCACTGGGCACAGATATTTTAGAGAACTTCATCTTTTACTCTTGAAAAAGCCACATATCCACATCTCTTTCATTTTCTCAGTGTGTTATGCAGCAATTTATTAAAGTATTTATTGTCTAATACTGCCAGGTGGAATATATATAACTGACTTCATGGGGGTGGTTCAACTAAAGAACTGTGTGACAAAACAGTTACAAAACAAAAGGGAGACCTTAAGATCCAGAATCAATCCTTTAGCCCAGGTTCACTAAGCACAGTAAGGAGAAACCTGCAAGGTGAAGTGGAGATGGCCTCCAGCCTCTACATGGGAGGGGCTCCCTTGAAGGCTGGGAGTGAACCTCTCTGGGAAACTAGGGTCAAGCCTCTGGGGGATGGTGGGACATAGGGATGTATGAGGCACAGACATCAGTGTCCAAACACCTGGTTTGCTATATGAAGTTATTTACCAAATAAATGGTTCTATTTCCTGATTCTGGGGTACCAGGGCTCTTTTCTTCAATGATGCCACACTGGACAATGTCCCAGTCCTCAAACTAAAATGGGTAACTTGGCTCTTAAAACTCCCTGGGGAAGGGACAGCACCAACACAGTTTTTATTTGCGGCTTTTACACAACAGACCCACAGGAGTCATCTAAGGTTTACATGAAGCATTTACCACTGAGGTCCTTGTAGCATGGATACCAATTCCACTCACTGAATCAGCTGGGTGATAAAACCATGTGTGTGAGTTGGGTGGGGGCCAGGGAACATTACAAAACAGATTCTGAAAAACGCAAATTTTTAGAATCTTACATCATCCTCAGCCAAACATTTACACAAAAGGATCCAAGAGCTGCTTTACTAAAAACTACTTAGTCATAATGATGACATGTTTTCTATATAAACAAGTGCTTGAAAAGTATTTTAAAGCTTATTCTTCTGAGATTATTCATGTACTCTTTTCATGCTTTTAACATCTTTCACAGAAGGGTTGAGGTGTTACTGCAAAGATTAACCTCATTCCAGCACAGGGCCAACTCTCCACACCTACCTCATGTGGGAAGCAGAATTTCCGGGCCATGCTCAGCAGCAGGCTGCCTGCTCCAACAGGAAGGTGCACACCTACACCCAGGGGGTCCAGATGGAAGCCACTGAATCTAGTCCTCCACAGACTCCTTCCGCCAGACTGCAGCTCTCACCAATGGAATCAGAATCGCTAATTCTGTACTGTTTCTGGAGGATCTGATGCACAAGTAACCTTGTATATCAGTCTATTTCCTGGCTAAGCCTGAGCTTATGCTATGCAACATTTTCCAACACTATTTCCATAGGGAAAACTGAAAAGAGCTAGAGGGTTCCAAAAGCCCCGGTCTGGTCCTAGCCTTGTCTCTAACCAGTCATCTCCTCGGTCTCTTCATTGCAACATGCCACTTCCCCGACCAGGGTCATCATGAGAGTGAAAGCACAGCAAAATGCCTGTGAACTATAAAACATCACACAACCAGCAGCTTGCAGGCCACTCTGAGCCAGTCCAAGATGCCTATAATGGTTTTAACAAGGAAAGACAGCATATTCAAAAACAATCTCTGAAGGGTCAACAGGTGCTCACAGTGTAATAACTCAAAAGACTAGGAAAAAAAAAAAAAAGAAACCTTTATTTACAACCATGGGAGTCCCACAGGAGTACACAAAACACACAATGTGCACACACACAAAATGAACCTTTTAAGTCAACACCATGCGTGCTCCTAGCCGCGCACCCACCCCTCAGTGCCCTATCCGCACCACCATCACGGTGACGTTGTCGGCCGAGCCCCGCTGCACTGCCTTGTTGGCCAGCCTGTTGCAGGCTGCTTCGTAGCGGGCGTCAACTGCGGACTTCCCTTCCCGGGTCTGGATCTTCTCATCCTACCAGATGAGAAAGGGAATGAGTGAATGGGGTGACCCTGCACCCTGTCACTTTCCTGAGACATTACTGCCAGGAAGAGGAGCTGCTCTGGTCTCCATCAGGGCTGGCAGGGCAAACTGACTAGTGAGTCAGTAGGCAGCGTTCACACTGGAAAAAGGGCAAAAGAGCTGTTCAACAATGGGAGGACATGGGGTCTCAGGACTTATACTTCTCTGAAAACTAAGACACAGCTGGGACAACCACCACTCACCACTCCCATGTGAGATTTCTCACCTCGAGACAGGACAAGATGAAGTTCACGGCTTCTTCTGGGGTAAAGACCTTGAAGAGCCCATCACAGGCCAACAAAATGAACCTACAACACCAGGGAGAAATATAAATGGGTTTTAGGTCCAACCAAAAAAATAAAAAATAAAAAAAAAAAGGCCTGGAGATGGAGATAAAATAAATATTTGTCCAACTATTCAACGGCTAAGGTTTTTTTTTTTTTTTTTGAGACGGAGTTTCACTCTTGTTGCCTAGGCTGGAGTGCAATGGCGCAATCTTGGCTCACTGCAACCTCCACCTTCCCAGTTTAAGCTACTCTCCTGCCTCAGTCTCCTGAGTAGCTGGGATTATAGGCGCCCGCCACCACGCCCAGCTAATTTTTTGTATTTTTAGTAGACATGGTCTCACCATGTTGGCCAGGCTGGTCTCAAACTCCTGACCTCAGGTGATCCACCTGCCTTAGCCTCCCAAAGTGCTAGGATTACAGGTATGAGCCACTGCACCTGGCCAGGCTAAGATCTGTTTAAACCCACTTAATTTCTGAGACAAAGGTTTCAACTTCTGAGACAAAGGTTTAAACTACTTACAAGTATTTGTGGATAGGATGTTATACATCAAAACAGAGACTATCTTTCTCTTCACCAATTAACAGAATTATTACCTCAAACATTAGGTGCTATACTTTCTTAGACAAACACAAGAAAAATCACTGAATAAAAACATGGGTGTTATGGTAAATATACAAGAGTTTATAACACCATAGGCCTTCCACCACTTCCAGACATCAAGCTGAGAATGAGCCCGGCCTCGGTGAAACATCCTTGGGCGCACAATGCACACCCTGGGGGCTGCATGCAAGTCTAAGGCCCAACAAGGGATAGCTGTGTGTGTTCCTGTGTTTGAAAACCACATGTTCTCCCTTTCAGAATCAAGCCCCTCTAGACTGCCCCTGGAATCTTTCTGAACGCCAATGGATTCCATTTGACAGTTCTAGTTCTCCCAGTATTGGGGGTGGGGAATATGCTTCCCTGCGGCTTTACGGTATAAGCCACGCTCCTTTTCTCACTGTAATATCTATGTCTGTTTTCCTTTCTGTTGTTGTTGTTGTTGAGGCGGACTTCACCCTTGTCGCCCAGACTAGAGTGCAGTGGCACGATCTCAACTCACTGTAACCTCTGCCTCCCGGGTTCAAGTGATTCTCCTGCCTCAGTCTCCTGAGTGGCTGGGATGACAGGCGCCCACCACCACGCCTGGCTAATTTTTCTATTTTTAGTAGAGATGGGGTTTTGCCATGTTGGCCAGGCTGGCCTTGAACTCCTGACCACAGGTGATCCACCCACCTCCGCCTCCCAAAGTGTTGGGATTACAGGCGTGAGCCACCCACCCAGCCTGTTTTCCTCTTTTGACTAGGCTTTCATTCAGCCACTATTTGCTGAGCATGTCGTCCATGCTAAGAACACAGTGGGGCCTAGTCCTGGCAGGCTCCTGCCCCTTCCAGTGTCCTCAAAGTCAGACCCTGAATAACCAATCACACAGACCCATGATTACAACCCAGGAAGGGGAGCTAGGAAGCAAAACAGAAGATGCATCATTCAGAAAACCAGAGGCGGCAGCTGCTGGAAAGGTAATGGAGGACCCCGGGGTATGTGAGAATATAACAAACACACTGAAGGCAGATGTGGAGAATGGGGCAGTGGCTCGAGACAAGGCCAAGCAGGCGAGTGCCAAAGCAAGGCAAGTGCTCTTCATCCATAGCACTGGGGTAGGACTCAGAGAAGCACTCAGAGGACCACCCCGCCACAGTGCCACTAGTCTCTCGCCTTCCCTCATCAACTCAATGCTGTGAATCCTGCTTCCGGGAGCTTTCCTTGTCCGCCTCCTGTTACTACCTTAGTTCCGCCCTCACCATCAGGCCAGGGCTGCTGCACCGCTGCTCATGGGCCTCCCTAGCTCCAAAATAGCATCTTTAACCATCTTTAACTGTTGAGGCCTTGCCCTCGGCCGGCATGGTGCCATACGTTTAGGCATAGAGAACAGGAGATGAACAAGTGAACAGTCTCTTTCTCAACCAATCCTGGCTCTGTGCAAAAACCTATGATTCTCCACCAATGATCAACTAAAATTCAAACTCTCCAGCATGGGACTGAGGGCCCTTCAGGATCTGCCCCTGAAGTACCCTGCTATCACTTTCCCACCACTCCCTCGGTCCTCCAAGCGCCTGTCTGGCCAAGCTTTCACACTGTCATATGTTAATGCCTTAGTGTGTGTTCCCTCTGCCAGGAAGGCCCTTCTCCTCTCTCTGACAGGGATACCCCCCCTTCCCCTCCTGCTAAAGACCCCAGCACATGGCACATGCCTAGGACACACTGGACTGCAGCTGCCCATCCCCAAGTGTGTTCCCCACCACTGTGGACCCCACCGGAGCAGAAACCACACTCTGTTTATCTCTGCACCCCCAGGGCCTAGCACCATGGACACCTTCCCTCCAACAAAGGCTTGATACAAATTGGAAGAAGTGAGGAAAAGAAATAAAGCCACGTGCACACACACCTGTGCCTCTGATAGGGCCCTTTTACCTGTCATTGGGGGTCAGCTGGCAGCGTCTGATGTCGGGCACAGACGTGACACCGCAGCGCTTGTACTGCCCGTCCCCAATGGAGCGAGACACCTCTAGCACACCCAAAACACGCCCATCCCTAAAATGAGAGGAAAAACATTTCAGACTCTACCTGACAGATTATGGGTCCATAGTACTTAGAATCTCACCTTAAAAGCAGAGAATGAAAGTGTGAAAGATACAGACTGTGGAATTCACATTATTAACCAGTACTGACATTTCTTGGTCTCCAATATGCAGGAGTGTCTAGGCCATTAACTGCTGCCCTGGGGTAGGGACCCTGCCCAGCTGCACATGGGTGGGAACAGCACCTCCAGTGGCTGCCAAGCAGTACTGTCCAGCTTAACCTTCAACAGGACTCAGCAGTTCTCATCACACACCTAGGTCCAAAGTCCAGAATTGGATTTGACTGGACTGGGTAGGGGAGCCTGGCAGTGTTTTTGTATCTTAAAGCTCCTTGAGCGTTTCCCACATGCAGCGAGGGTTAACAACAGCTAGAACAGAGGGATATTTTGCATTTCAATCTAATTAGATTTGGAAAATCCCTGAGAGTGGCTATTCCTGGACTGTGGAGCACATGTCTTTTGCTCCACAGGGATGGTTTAACGTTAATAGAAATGAGAGTGTCCTGCATAGCACCATAGTTTCACCCACTCTATTTTTAGGTAAGGGGATATGGAGGAGATGGGGCAGTGATCTACAAATGGGAAGAGACATCTAAGGGACAGTCCTATTGCCAAGGAAAAACCATTTGGGGGAGCCTATTGACCCAAAGAACAATTCTGGTCTGGGCTGTAGCACTGTCACCTTAAGCAGCTGCAAGCTCTCTACCCTTCAGGCCCTTGTTTGTAAAGGGAGAGAAGACAACCATACTCAAAAGTGTGAGAGGGCACTCCACAAATGCCACGGCTGTGCGTGGGTGTTTAGGATCACCAGGGGGCTCCATGGACCAAGCAAGTTCAGAAGATGCGGTGCAGATGGATGCACATGGTAGGAAATGCTTCCTGGGCTGCTCTCCTAAAAGCATAATTCAGCCTGGCCCTTCTCTGGGCCCCAGTTGCCCTCTCATGTTTTTTCTTCTTCAAAGACTTCTGCCGGTATCTGCAAAAACCCTAGTGATCTTCTAGAATACAAACTGTTAAAACAAACAGCAAGAGGAAACAGAGTGCACAGGGGAAGAGCTGCGGATGAAGATGGGTGGGGGCACTTGGCCTTAAGAGTGCCAGTTCAGGAAGCAGCTCACAGTGAAGTGCTATGAAAACCAACAAAGCACCTCTCCCATAACCAGGTGACTGGGTGTCTGGTGTGGATTCCCCGCAATCCAGTCATAAACCCATCCTGTTTCAACAAGATTAGGATTACAATAACCACCTCTGCCACGGCAGGTCCCAGAAGCCAAAGTAGCCACCAGCAACTTCTGGTACCGCACAACACAGTATAGAAAATGTGAAACAACTCCTAAGTCTAAAGAAGGAAAACATGAGCAGCACCGGAACTGCCATCTCTCATTCTCTATTTTTTTTAATAGTGTCTCCCTCTGTTGCCCAGGCTGGAGGGCAGTGGTGCAATCGCTCACTGGGCTCAAGTGATCCTCCCACCTCAGCCTCCTGAGTAGCTAAAGGTGCCACCAAGTCCGGGTAATTAAAAATTAAAAAAAAATTTTTTTTTGTACAGATGGGGTGTTGCCCAGGCTGGTCCTTAAACAATTGGCCTCAAGCAATCCTCCCACCTCAGCCTCCCAAAGTGCTGAGATTACAGGTATAATGTGGCCTCATTCTTGTTTTCAAAGTTCCACATACAGAGTAGTAATCTTACATTCACTGAACTGCTAGAGTAACAGCAGAAAGCACACGGACAGGATGATGGATCCCAGGAAAAGCGTTTGGTAATGATGCAGCAAGCTGCCCTGACACTATGCCTACACCCAATGCAATGTCCTACATAGATGTGCACATTCAAATACCTGTCAGTTCAACAAAGGCCAATCACAGAGTCCCAACTCTGAGATCAAGCATCACACAAGGGTAAATCCATGCCACGTCTACTTTGGAAACTGTTGGTACAAGTTCAAAAGGATCACCACTGATGAGGCTGGTCGAGACTCAACCCCAGAGACACAGGCTTCGTACTTTCGAGTCTGCTTTATCCATTTCACCAGACTTCTTCTTTGTTTTGAAAAGAAAGGGTCCTGCGATGTTGCCCAGACTGGAGTGCAGTGGCTATTCACAGACATGGTGGCGCATTATAGCTTCAAGCTCCTGGACTCAAACGATCCTCCTGCCTCAGCCTCCAAGTGGCTGGGACTATAGGCGCATGCCACCAATACATAATCTATCCATGTCCATTTCTTAGAAAGTCTGCACTACTACAGACACAATAGAAAGCTGTTTCACAGCAGGTTCTCCCCCATTGCCCAGTTTTCAAAGTTCAAACAAACTGCCCAAAGTTCATTCTCTTTCCCCTTCCCTCAGTTTCCCCCCAGCCCCGTAATTACAACACTTAACAAGTAGTGACTTTTTTTTGAGACGGAGTCTCACTCTATCGCCCAGGCTGGAGTGCAGTGGCGCAATCTCGGTTCATTGCAACCTCTGCTGCCTGAGTTCAAGTGATCCTCCTGCCTCAGCCTCCCGAGTAGCTGGGATTACAGGCGCCTGCCACCACGCCGGTTAATTTTTGTATTTTTAGTAGAGATGGGGTTTCACCATCTTGGCCCGGCTGGTCTTGAACTCCTGACCTCGTGATCCACCCACCTTGGCCTCCCAAAGTGCTGGGATTACAGGCATGAGCCACCATGCCTGGCCAAGTAGTGGCATTTTAAGTCTCAGCCTACCAAGCCAATCTGCCTGTCCGTTGGTACCAGCCCTCATTAGGACTGTCCTCCTGCCCTTACGCACTTCCAACGTTTGCTTTGTGCTGCTTTATTTCTCTTCTCTGTTTTCTGCCAACCAGAAAACTGTTTTCCTACTGTTTGACAAGCTGTTCAACAGTGTCTTCAGATCTTAGCTATTTTTGTTGATATTTTCTGTTCTAATTCTTTCTCTAGAGAGACTGGGTGAGACTGAGACATCCTACTACTTGTGTGTTTAAGGCTAATCTGGCTGCTAAAGCAGCTGGAAGCTGCTTGGACTTCAGCTCCTCTTGCATGTCAGTAAAAGCAAGACACAGTTGGTCTCAATAGACCATCCACAAGTGATGTTTGCAAAGTTAAGGTTGGGAGGATGAAGCTCCATCTCCTGACCATCCAAAGACTGGTGGATGCCTAAATCCAATGTATTCATACAATGAGTGCTACAAAGATAACCAAAGGTACAATGCTACAACAGTTACTTTTAGTTGTGAGAGGCCTGCACTTGATCAAGTTCTAGGCACACAGTACTGACATTTAAATTTAAATGTTGTATGTAAACTTCCCATCTGTTCAGCTGCCTTCCTTGTAAAATAAAAATAAAACTTGTCTTAATCTTCTCAGAAAAATTCACTGCTACATAGCTACTTCAATGTAAGAAAGCAGAAAAAAATAAGAATGCACAAAGATTTACATACTTTTGTTAAGAAATACTGGAAAGAATCAAGAAATAGGATGAAGGGGACAGGGATGAAAGCATGACATCTATAAATGTCTTTTTACTCAATTTAGATTCTGAAGGATGCAATAGGGAGTTTTTCATTTTTTTTTATTATGGTAATATATACATGAAATTTACCTTCTTAACCATTTTTAAGTGTACAGGTTCAGCAGCATTAAATATATTCACACTGTTGTGTTATCAGCACCACCATCCATTCCCAGAACTTTTTCTATCTTCCCAAACTGAGATTGTTCCCATTAAACACTAACCCCACATCCCCCACATCCCCCCGGAACCACCATTCTACTTTCTGTGAACTTGACTGGTACCTATGAGTGAAATGCTAGTGTTTGTCTTTTCGCATCTGGCTTCTTTTACTTAGCATAAAGTCCTCAGGTTCATCCATTTTGTAGCATGGGTCAGAATTTCCTTCCTTTCTGAGGTTAAATAATACTCTGTTATACAGACATCTCACACGTTGCTTATCTATTCATCTGTCAATGAACATCTGGGTTGCTTCCCCCTCTTCCCCATGGTGAATAAGAGTGTGAACATGGGTGTGCAAATATCTGTTTGTGTCCCTGCTTTGAATTCTTTTGGGTATATACCCAGAGGTGGAACTGCAGATCATATGCTAACTCTGTTGAATGTCTGAGGAACTGCCATACTGTTTTCCATAGTGCACACCATTTCACATTCCCACCAGTCATGCACAGGGGTTCTCATTTCTCCCCGTATTGTATAAAGGGAAAGAAGCCCTTTATAAATTGGATAAACTGAAAACAATGAACTGAGTAAAAATAAACAGAAAACTAATAATAGTAATAACCAAAGTGGCAAAATAACCACAGTAAGAAATAGTTAATTCACTTTTGCACACAGTGCCAACAGTACTGCTTTAGTGAGATATATTCTAAGGACAAGAGAACAGCAAGGAACACAAACTAAAGTTAGGATATTTTTATTTTTTGAGGCAGGGTCTCACTCTGTCAACTAGGTTGGAGTGCAGTGGCACAATCATGGCTCACTGTATCCTAGAACTCCTAGACTCAAGTGACCCTCCTGTCTCAGCCACCCGAGTGGGGGGGACTACAGGCGCACACCACCAGAAATGGCTCCACGGTGCTATTTTTATTTTTTGTACAGATAAGGTCTCACTGCTTTGCCCAGGCTGCTCTCAAACTCCTGGTATGGAGCGATCCTCCTGCCTCAGCTTCCCAAAGCACTGGAATTACAGGTGTGAGCCCTCTGCTCCCCTAGTAGTGATAATTTTGATACTATGAAACTATTTTAACAAATAAATATACTGTTGTTAAGAACCAAGATTTCTAGCATTAAGAGAAATGAGCTACAAATATTAAACCAAAGAAGAGAAAACTCTGTAATGTTAAATATGAGTAAGAAATAGCACTCCAAGCTTGCAATTTAAAATGTGTTATGTTTCCTAGTTCTGTATGTTTTGAGTGGACATAGAACTAACGACAATCCAACTGAACTGAGCACCTGAGAACATGGATTTGGGTTCTTTTTTTAAAAAAATTTATTCCCTACACTGATGAATTTTTTTTTTTTTTTTTTGAGACAAGAGTCTTGCTCTGTTACTCAAGCTTGAGTACAATGGTATGATCTCTGCTCACCGCAACCTCCGCCTCCCAGGCTCAAGCAATCCTCCCACCTCAGCCTCCTGAGTAGGACCACAAGTGTGTGCCACCACACCTGGCTAATTTCTCTCTCTCTCTTTTTTTTTGTATTTCTTGTAGAGATGCAGTTTCACCAATGTTGCCAAATTGGTCTTGAACTCCTCGGCTCAAGAGATCCACCCCCTTCAGCCTCCAAAGTGCTGGGATTACAGATCTCTGAGCCACTGTACCCGGCCTGGTTTTCGGTTCTTAAACATTAATAAATACATATGAAAAGGACACAGGAACCAGCTGGCAGGAGTTCCCACTGGCCATATCTGAAATAAAGTGAGCAGCAGAAAACACCATGACTGTGACTACAACACGCTGAATAGTCAATTGGCACACAGTGATTCACAAAGGAAGGATGGAGGGAGAGACACAGAGGAGTGAAAGAAAAACACTAATTTCCACAACTATAGGTGACTATCTTCCTTTAAAATTGGTAAAGGACAGAATGAAACATTTATTCTGCTTTTTTAGAAGAATCTATGATGTTCTCTTATTGATGATGAATAAGAAGTTTCTTTACAGAATGCCCGCTAATACATGTGAAAGGAATCACAGAATATGAAAATCATCTTTGACATCCCTGATGAAATAATGATTTAGGGATGCTAAGACCATTAGGTGAAAGGCTGACAGGAAACAGAATATTCACAAGGTACCAATGAACCTCCCCAGATTACCTGCTGATGACACAAGGTAACAGGAGCATCTGGCTGTTACCACTGGAGCCAAGTGCTGGGATTTGGCAACTGACAGGTCACATTATGTGCCTACTGAAGTGAAGGACTACTGAGTAAACAGCATCCCCCATAAAACATCTCATCTGAATCTAAAGAAGGCCTTACACCTAACTTCCAGTTTATAGGAAATATACGGAAATAACACCATAAAAAAAATACGCAAGTTCAGAATGGTGGTGACTATACAACTGCTAGCCTATAACACGGTTCAAAGCCTGGTAAGAAATTAGTCTTGGCAGGGTGCAGTGGTGCACACCTGTAATCCCTGCACTCTGGGAGGCCAAGGCAGAAGGATCACTTGAACTCAGCTTAGAAAACAGAGAGAGAGACCCTCTCTCTACCAAAAAATAAAAAAAAAGAGCCAGGCATAGTGGTACATGCTGTGCTCCCAGCTACTTGAGAGGCCAAGGCTGGAGGATTGCTTGAGCCTCAGAGGTCAAGGCTGCAGTGAGCTGTGATTGTGCCACTGCACTCTAGGCAACAGAGCAAGACACACTCTCTCAAAAAAAAAAAAAAAAAAGAAATGCCAAGTCAAGTCCACGGTAGACATGAATGCTGACTAGACCCTCGTTTGAAACAAAGATACTTTGGGGATAACTCGGGAAATAAGAATTTGGACAGGACATTAGATAACCTAATATAACCTAAGGAAATATTATTATCTTAGGTGCGAAAACTCTCATTATTTATGGCAAGAACGTCCTTATCTTCAGGAGGTGCATGCTTAAGTATTTAGGGTGTTATGTCATCATATCTGCAACTTTTAAACAGCTCAACCTGACACACATCTATACAGACTAAACATGTCACAATGTTCACTGCTAGTAGATTTGGAAATGTTTGTTTTACTACTGTAAAGTTTCTTCTGTATGTCTGAAAAATTTAATAATAAAAGCTGAGAGTGGAGGAGCCAGCCCTGGCCTCAGGCACAACTGGCCTTACTTTCGGCCATAGGACTGTCAGTATCAAATTATTTTCAAGGAGTTCAGGCAAAAGCAGAATAAATGGAAAACTTACAAGAAAGGGGAGAAGAGGTGATGCTTACACTCACGTTAAGAGTCACATCCTCAGGCATGACTGTCCACAGTAGTTACCAGGACAGTAGTTACGGTGGCAAAAACTGGACAAACAACTGCTTGAGGCCTGAAAACAGGCCTATAATCCCATCACTGCTCATGCAAACTGCAGCAACCGTGAATGAAACTGCTTCTTACTAATCCAGGAGCTTTTTGAACAAATGCTAAGGGTTCCAACTACTCTCTAGAAACCTCCCTGTACCACTGACTAGATTCAGCCTAGAGCAATAAAAAAGGCTTCCCCAAATGAACAACAGAAGAGAAACTACACTTCAAAGGATAGGTAAGTGCAGTCTTATACTAAGAGATGACATCTCTCTTATCTCTGGCAGAAAATAAAATTTTAATAGTCATACTGTACAATAAACCAGAAAATACTCCTGGTCAAATTCATAATGCAATGTTCTTGAAGTGGAATTCTAAAGAAAAGACTTATGCCCTCCTTTAGCTGCCTTGGATAGAAGCAGATAATAAAACCAAAGTAGACATATGGTTTTCAAAGATTTAAAGAGAGAGTGAAACGAAACTGCAAAAGACAAAGCCAAGACAGACAGGTTCCTCTGTGCCGGTTGTTCCCAAAAAGCCCAAAGACAGTTCCCAAGAAGTCCAAAGACATTACTTAACCTGTCTTAACTACTTCAGATTTTCTCTCTGGAGAATTCACCTAAAACTGTAACTTATTCAGTGTGACAAGTGACAGGACAGTGTGTTTTTTGTTTTTTTTTGAGATGGAGTCTCACTCTGTTGCTCAGGCTGGAGTACAGTGGCGCGATTTTGGCTCACTGCAAGCTCCGCCTCCCAGGTTCATGCCATTCTCCTGCCTCAGCCTCCCAAGTAGCTGGGATTACAGGCGCCAGACACCACGACAAATGACAGTATTTAAGAAACCCCCTAGGCACAGAAAACACTGTGAACGGTAAATATGAATTTGTCCTTTTGCAAATGTAGGGAGGCAAGAGTCCTTCCACTTGGACACATGTGAAATCTACAACAGTCATCCACCTATGTCACCAGTGTTAGATCTCAGACAGAACCTCGTCATATTGAAGACTGCCTAACAGGGAAAGTTCTACTCCTTCAAGGTCTCGGGATCCTTCTATAGCCAACAGCCCTCCTTCCCATGAGCCCCTCTCAGTCCCCTGGTTACCTGACGTTTCCTCCAGCCTTCTGTATCCTCATCCGCTCTTCATACTGAGTTGGATTATGTTCTTTGCTGAGGCTTAAGGCTGCATGTTTTTGACTCTCCTCATTATAACGACACAAGATTGCCTGGGAAGATGGAGATTATAATAGTCAGGAAATTCAGTGGGCCCAGCATCTAAACGTAGCAGTTGAAGAAAACAGTTAACAACGGAGTTTCACATTCAGCCTCCTGCTGATAAACCTAAGTTCAGAGAATCAAGCAGCAAAGAAGTGTCAAAGACACAACAGTTAGGGAGAGAGTCGCCCCTGGTTTTGATATCAACTCTGGTGCAAACTCTGCTGAATAACTACAGCCAAGCGCTCGCTCACTCTGGCTGCTGTCACATTTGTGACATGAAAGGAAGCATTCAACAAGTATCAAAGTCCCTTTTGGCCTGGAGACTACAAGGCCAGAGACATGTCCATGAGCCTATGAAAGGCAAAGAGGAGGGCAGGCGTTGTGCATGCTGGCCGAGTGCCAGGCAGGCCGTCCACACCAGTGCCTCCAGGTGTTCTTACCCCTGCCAGGCTCATTGTATCGGTTTTACAGGACACTGAGGAACGAAGAATAAGTAATGCAATAAAGTCACAGAGCACAGCCAGGATTCAAATTTGGGTCTGACTCCTAAGTCTTTATTTTTTTTATTTGTTGCCAATTTTCCTCTTGCTATTTCTGAAGTCATGTGGTCTAAACACATGTGGGCTAGGGCCAGTCTACTACAGGGTCTCCAGAATATAAACTCCACCAGGCAGGGGCTGTCATCTGTTATAGTCCCTGCTATACCCCTAGCGCTTAGTATTTGATGAATCATCCCCCTAAAAGTATCAGGGGGAGGGGTCTAAAGATGCTGCTTAAGTGTGGACAGAGTTACTTGGTTCCTGTGACAGCTGAAGGAGCAAGGAAGGCAGTTGAAAAAGTGGCAATGGAACGGAACGTACGGTCCTGACACAGAGGCAGCAGGGTCTGCATCCAGCTTTCCACAGCAGCACCCTCTAGGCTTTACAACATCCCCATGACTGTCACCAGGGGGAACAACACCCTGGGCTTTCTCCCTCAGCTAGGGACTGGGCTCAGGGGATGAATGGCACCTCATCTGTTATTTTCTAGCTACAGCTTTCGAGTTACTCTGAAATCACAGCAACTTTGAGAGGCAGGGGTTAAAGCTTTTCATTCATTACTGTCTAAGGTCAGAGAAATGAAATAAAAGAAGATCTAGGCTACTTACATACTGATTACATTCTGATCCACAGCATCACACACACAAACCACGGGAGGAAAAAAGAAACAAAAAAGACAGGATCTGGGTTTTAAAGCACAAGTCTATCACAGGGCGTAAGTCTCCCCAGAGAACAAATGGCCTCTAGCTGGGCTGCTGTTCCCTTACCCAGAAGTTGAACTGCAGCAGAACACTCTGCAGCAACCCCGGGAGAAGAAAGGTTTCAACCAGATATCATCATTTTAATCTTATTCAACAAGTACTTGCTAAAGTCTTTTCCCCATACAACGTATTGTCATCTAAGTGGGTGGCTCCAGAGCCACATACCCGACTATCTCCGAGGTTGGCAATATAAAGAATGTTGTCTACAGCCAGAACACACGTGGCAGTGGACCCATCTTTCCAGGCAGGCTTCCTGGGGGGAAACACATCAGAAACACAGTCACCACCAACAGCCTAGCACTTTGGGACTAATTTCCAGAGCTGAATGGGAAGTATCTTATATTTCAAAATGGACCATTTCCTTGATACTTGCTTTTTTTCTGTTTTAGATTTAGCTAATGGTTATAAGGGCTTACTGAGTATTAGGCACTTTTCAGACAGTGAGCAATAGTGTCAAACCACATCAGAAGACTGAAATGCATTTAGGAAAACACCGCGCACAGTCCACTCAAACTTTTCAAGTTATACTTACTGGCTGGAAGCTTGTTTAAGGAACTCTTCATCTGTATGCTTGAAAGTGTCCAAAAGGCATCTCTTCACGGTTTTCTCTACACTGATTACATCTCCTGTTACAAAAGAGCCAAAAGAAAACAATCTCTCAAGGAGGGAAGATTATCCTCCTCCCACTGTAATTTTGTTTTGTTTTTTGTGGTTTTTTGGAGACGGAGTCTTGTTCTGTCACCAGGCTGGAATACAGTGGCGCGATCTCAGCTCACTGCAACCTCTGCCTCCCAGGTTCAAGCAATTCTTCTGCCTTAGCCTCCCGAGTGGCTGGGAATACACGCGTGCACGACCACACCAGCCTAATTTTTATATCTTTAGTAGAGACGGGGTTTCACCACATTGGCCAGGCTGGTCTCGAACTCCTGACCTCATGTTCCACCCGCCTTGGCCTCCCAAATGCTGGGATTACAGGCCTGAGTCACCAGGGCCAGCCATTTTGTTTTTGTAATTTCTGCACATCAACTGATTTTTAAGCATGATTAAGAACAATCCCTATTTCTTTAAAAAAAAATTTTTTTTTTTCTGAGACTGGGTATCACTCTGTCACCCAGGCTGGAGTGCAATGGTACAATTGTGGTTCGCTGCAGCCTCAACCTCCTGGGGCTGAGATAATCCTCCCACCACAGCCTCTTGAGCAGCTGGGACCACAGGTGCATACCACCATGTCCAGTTAGTTTTTTTTTTTTTTGTAGAGATGGAGTCTCCCTATGTTGCCAGGCTGGTCTCAAACTCCTGGGCTTGAGGTATCTTCTGGCCTTGGCCTCCCAAAGTGCTGTGTGAGCCACCGTGCCCAGCCAGAACAATCTCTGTTTCCTCACATATAACACAGTACCATTTGAAGTTGGTTTTACTAGTTTTCCAATAAAGGCAAGACACTAACTGAACCCAAAGACAATTCACAAAAGGTGCCTATCACTCAGAATCATAAGAAGTGCCACCCGAAGTCACACCCGCATGGCCACTATGCCTGGAAGCCATGGAGTCCACTCCTCAGCACCACTCTTTTAAGACTCATCAATGATTCTCTGCTAAAGCCAAAATGACACATCTGACTGCTTCATACAGCCATCCGAACAGCAATAACCAAAATGAGTATCAACTGATTTCGTTCTCAGTCTCACCTTTAGGAAATTTTCTGATTAAGTTCTGATGCAAATTCTGTGCGGCAAATTTTGAGGCTCGAATTCCTCCATGTCCATCAAAAACAGCAAAATATGAAACCCGAGTACTGAAATAATGAATTGAGAGTTAATCAAATTCTCACAGCAAAAACCACACTTTTCCATTAAAGCTTAAAATTTCATCTCAAAGAGTGAACATTAATGAGGAAGTCACATTGGTAAGACACCAGTCACACTGTTATGAATGGGGGAAAAAAGGCTTTAACTGAGACAAACATTTAAGTAACTTTCACAGCATTTTATCTTTAAAAAAAAAAAAAATACTTGTGTGTGGGCCAGGTGTGGTGGCTCACACCTATAATCCCAGCACTTTGGGAGGCCGAGGCGGGTGGATCACGAGGTCAGGAGATCAAGACCATCCTGGCTAACATGGTGAAACCCTGTCTCTACTAAAAACATAAAAAAATTAGCCAGGCATGGTGGCAGGCGCCTGTAGTCCCAGCTACTCGGGAGGCTGAGGCAGGAGAATGGTGTGAACATGGTAGGCGGAGCTTGCAGTGAGCCGAGATTGCACCACTACCCTTCAGCCTGGGTGACAGAGCAAGACTCCGTCTAAAAAAAAAAACAAAAAAAACAAAAAAAAACAGATCAAGTCATTTATCAAAAAAAGTCAAAAACAGTTATGCATCACTTAACAACAGAAATGTGCTGTTAAGTGATTTTGTTGTGTGAACATCATAGAACATATTTACACAAACTGAGATAGTGTAGCTTACTACACACCTAAGCTACATACATGGCAGAGCCTAATTGCTTCTAGGCTAAACTGTACAGCATGCTACTGCACGAAATACCAAGGCAGCTGTAACACAACGGTAGTATTTGTGTATTTAAGCATACCTTAACATAGAAAAGGTACAGTAAACATGGTATTATGGCCGAACACAGCAGCTCACACCTGTTAATCCCAACACTTTGGGAGATGGCCAAGGCAGGAGGATCACTTGAGGCCAGGAGTTCAAGACCAGCCTGGGCAACACAGCAAGACCCCATCTCTACAAAATTTGTAATCTTATGGGAGCACCATCATATATGCAGTCCATCAATGACTTGATGATGTCATTCAGCACGTGATTGTGTAAGAGCAGGGAGGATATTACAGAATTGTTACTCAAATAAATTTTAAGTATCTCATTTTAAAAACCTCTTACTACTCTTATTCCTATTCCCCTTTCAAGTTTTGCCAGAAAACCCTCATATATGGAATAAAAGACATCGAATAAACTATTTCAAGAAAAAAAAAATGCCTATGAGAAATGACATTTATTCTAGAGAGCTGCTTTTCTTTCAAATTTTTTGGAATTCCTTTTCAATTTAGGACATCCTGAGCCATGAGAAAAAACCTCATCTGGTTTGTAACTCAGAGCTGTTATCTTACTGCCTGCTATTTGCAAGGCATGATTTAGTGTTCCCAATTAAATTTACACTCAAAGGATCTGCCTTCTTGGGCTCCAGAGGTCCCTTTCCTGGTGTTAATGCAAATCCCAGGCTGGGTATGGTGGCTCATGCGAGTAATCCCAGCACTTTGGGAGGCCAAGGTGGGAGGATGGCTTGAGCCCAGGAGTTTGAGACAAGCCTGAGCAACTTAAAGAGACATTGCCTCTATTAAAAAATTCAAAAAATTAGCTGGCTGTGGTGGCACATGCCTATGGTCCCAGCTACTCAGGACGCTGAGGTGGGAGGACTGCTTAAGCCTAGGAGTCAAGCCTGCAGGGAGCCGGAATTGTGCCACTGTACTCCAGCCTGAGCGAGACAGCAAGACCTTGTCTCAAAGGGTGTGTATACCGTCCCCTCTACATATGATCAGCCGCTCTGCAGCAGCCATCACCTCATCTTCATGAGTAGACCTCTCAGGACAAACGCCATCAGCCCAAATGACTCCAGCACACTGTATGTTAATGACCAACTGGTGTCAATAAACGTACGTAATGTATTTATTATGTAATTCTGAATTATGTAACCTGTGTAATATATATTATTAAATATGTACTATAATGTATATTAACAGCCAACTTCATGTCCTACCTTCTGGTTTCTTTTTCTCCAGGCCCAAGAGCTTATCCAGAAGGCTTCATTTTAGTTTGTATAGTTGCAGCTAATTTTTCATTGTCTGTCATTTCCTTGACATCATTTTGACTTTTGTTCTTCCTAGGCCCTGATTATCTGTACTAGCTCTCCTTGATCACCATTCATATTTTAATTAGTGGCTTCCAACTCTTATCTTCTAGGTCATGGAATAAAAATATTCTCTGCCAGAAGCTGCTCAGTTGCTGGTAAGGAGTAACACACGCTGCAGAGCCCTGCCATGGAGCATCGTCTCCCGCTCAGCTGCTCAACCGCGACACTACTGACATCCCAGGCTAAATAGTTCTCTGTTGTGGGGCTGCCCTGCGCTGCTAAGATGCTCAGCAGCACCCCTAGTCTCTACCCACCAGACACCAGTAACAACTCCCTCCCGCACTGTGACAAAAATGTACCCAAACACTGACAAATGTCCCCTGGGCGGGGAGCAAAATCAACCCCAGCTGAGAATCATTGATGTACAATCAAGTGATGTGTTAGTCTTTCTAGTAAATACATACTAGCCAGTCCAAAATGCCAGTCAGAACCCAGGAGATGTTAATGCCGGCTGGGCTTCCTACCACATGAGACTCACATGAGGGACGATGGGGGCCTACACTCCTCGGTGATGTCGTTCAGGATGACGTGGGCATCCTGCATCTCCTCCCTCTCACCCTTCCGCTCAGCCACATAGCCCTTCAGACCAAAGATCACCGAAGAGGCTAAGGAAAAGAGAACAAAAAAGCCAATACAAAACTGTGCCCAACCCGCTGGAAACCCTAGTCCCAGAGCAAATGAGAGGGAACTATGACTGTCTGACTCAACAATATCCTAGTGGTGCAAACAAATAAGCAATACCCCTTAAGGCATCTTCCCAGCTGCAAATCTATAACTAAAATCAGAGCACTGTTGGACAGGGTGAGCTCTAAGAGGTTGCACAGGGACACGAATGAGGAGTCAGTGAGCACAAAACAATTCTGTCTAGGGTATAAGTCAAAGCACCAGGGCAAGGGATGTGCTGCCATCCCAGAGAAGTGAGATTCAAATCAGGGGAAAGGATCACGTGCAAATTAGTCTTGTGATAATTGAATAAGGACAAATGCAAGTCAGCAGAGTTTGTCTCAAAAGCCCTGTAAGATGCCCTGAAAATACGTATTTCCATGCCCAACGCTGGTGAAGAATTTGAACAAACAGTAGAATTGGTTGCTTTTACTTCAACTGAGGAAGAAAAAGATAAAAGATTCCAATGCAGGCAGAGATCTATTTAAATTTAATGGTTAGGCTCATTTAAGCTCATTTTCTGATAACTAATGCCAAATAATAAACACTGTGAAGAGCTGTCCTCTGGGAAGGGACAAGCTAAACTGAAGATGACATCTTCCCAGCAAAGCTACAAGTGGGTTTTTTCAATACCTCTGCCTGCATCGTACAGCTTTCACTAAGATAATTTGTGGCAAAGGACAATGCAGTCAATGAAAATCCCACAGCTCGGGCCGGGCGCGGTGGCTCACACCTGTAACCCCGGCACTTTTGGGAGGCCAAGGTGGGCAGATCACGAGGTCAGAAGATCGAGACCATCCTGGCTAACATAGTGAAACCCCGTGTCTACTAAAAATACAAAAAATTAGCCGGGTGTGGTGGTGGGTGCCTGTAGTCCCAGCTACTCAGGAAGGCTGAGGCAGGAGTATGGCGTGAACCCAGGAGGCAGGAGGTAGCACTTGCAGTGAGCAGAGATCGCACCACTTGCACTCCAGGCCAGGTGATAGTGAGACTCCATCTCAAAAAAGAAAGAAAGAAAGAAAGAAAATTCCACAGCTCAAGAATACTTTAGTACCACAACTGAAGTATTTATTCTCTTTAGTTAATTCTTTTCGTTTTCTTCCCCATTAACTTTGACAAGGTACACAACTGACTACAAATTTCAACGGCTTTTTCCAGGCTTAGGGAAGCTGCCTACAAAGCTAAATCACGTAATTCAAAGCACTAATCGACAAACTGCGAACAAAGATTGGAAGTCAGAGAGACACTAGGTGGTCAAAAACTAACCATTCACTGCAGAAGACTAAGAAAAAAACCACCTGTATTTTTTAACTCTTGAGGAACAAATGTAGGTTTCCTATCTGATCAAAGGTAGGATCAGAGATAGATGTACATGAAAAGTAGGGGAAAGCACAGAGAAACTCGGAAATTCATTTGCAAAAAGGGAACCCTACTCATCTCTTAAATACAGACATAAAAAGAAAGTATTATTAGAAAGCTGAAACTGGTTTTGCTCTGGGTTGTTTTAAAATATGAAGTCTAATACATTTGTTTTCAAACTGTCTGAAAACCTTTACAAACTTTCTTTTCCACAAGCTCTTCACTGCCATTCTTCTCTTCCTCGGAGGTTTTTCTCTTTGCTCCTTTCCCTTCATTCTTTACCATCTGGGATATTGACGGGGCAAGAGAACCTGGAAATAAAGTAAAAGCCGGACAGAAACACAGCTGTAGACTGTTGGAAAAAGTCACTAGCAGACTGGGCTTCATCCTTGCACTCAAAGACAAGGTCATTTCAAGCAAGGTCTGGCAGACACAGGCGGACCCAGGAGTTGTGTCTTCATGGTGGTGCGGGGGGTGGGGGCAGGTCCCCACAGTGAGAGAACATAAAGATCTAGGCCCTGAGTCAAACCGACCCTGCTGAAGGGGTTTGTAAAAGACTTTTCTCAGTGGTAAAAATATATTTTTTTCTGGCCTGTAGCATATACATGTTTTTATATCCACAGGTTCTTAGTGTTAAACACTTACAAAATCTGTAAGCAAACTAACATATCCTAAACAAGTTCCAAAAAGTAGTACCCAAAAAGACTCAAAATGAGGTAAATGGCAGCCTTTAAGAACTGTAATACATCCTTTCAAAGGCAAAATAGGGCTGCCACAGCTGTTCCCACTAGCAAAAGGATGAATCTATACTCAAAGCCAGAGCGAAGGGAATCTGCAGTGTATATGTGTTTGAAATCAGAAAAGTCAAGTTTCAAAGAGTGTGCAACTTAACTTTTCAGTCTCAGCTGCTCACCTATGTACATGTAAATCTGTCATCTCAGAACTTGAAATAGTAGCAAGTAAAAGCATTTACAGTCAACATCAATCTCCAATAAGGGCAGCTGTTGTCCTAATAAATGACTTGAAATGTTCTCTGCATTTAGGTATAAAAGTATGCAATAGCCAGATGCAGTGGCACATGCCTGTAGTCACAGCTACTTCCAGAGACTGAGGCAGGAGGATCACTTCAGCCCAGGCATTTGAGACCTGCCTGGGCAAAGTAGTGAGATGCTTCTCTTTTTAAAAAAAAAAAAAAGGATGCAAGTACTTACTACTTACTCAACCTACTCTTTGCCAGACATTTCTTTTTCTTTTTGTTTTTGAGACAGGGTCTCTTTCTGTCACACAGACTAGATCGCAACGGCATGATCATAGTTTACTGCAGCCTCCAACTCCTGTGTTCAAGTGATCCTCCCGCCTCAGCCTCCTGAGCAGCTGGGACTGAAAGCAGGAACCACCACACCCAGCTAATTTTTTAATTTTTTTGTAAACACAAGGTGTCTTTTTTTTTTTTTTTTTTTTTTTTTGAGACAGAGTCTACTCTGTCGCCCAGGCTGGAGTGCAGTGACGCAACCTCAGCTCACTACAACCTCCACCTCCCGGGTTCAAGCGATTCTCCTGCCTCAGCCTACAGGCGTGCACCATCACACCCAGCTAATTTTTCTATTTTTAGTAGAGAGGAGGTTTCACCATGTTGGGCAGGCTGGTCTCGAACTCCTTGTGTCAGACATTTCTTAGTGCTGAGGAAAAGGTAATGAAAATGTTCCTGCCCTCAAGAAGAGTAAATTACTTGCACAAGCACCTATTTCTGCAACAGTGTAACATGATACACATATGCACCCTGCATAATGCAACACAGATGTTTCCAACAGTATCTCTCCCAAAGGTCCCCATTAGTGTCCTGTGGCTTACTGTGTGGGTTCCCGTTTTCTCCAAATGGATATGAAACTATCTTCCTTTAAAATTCCAAAACAGATGGCCAGGTGTGGTGACTCACGCCTGTCATCCCAGCACTTTGGGAGGCTGAGACGGGCAAATCATCTAAGGTCAGAAGTTCAAGACAAGCCTGACCAACAAGGCGAAACCCGGTCTCTACTGAAAATACAAAAAATTAGCCGGGTGTGGTAGTCCCTGTAATCCCAGCTACTCGGGAGACTGAGGCATGAGACTCACTGGAACCCAGGAGGCGGAGGCTGCAGTGAGATGAGATCTCACCACTGCGCTCCAGCCTAGGAGACAGAGCGAGCCTCCACCTCAAAAAAAAAAAAAAAAAGAAAAAGAAAAAGGCCAGGCGCAGTGGCTCATGCCTGTCATCCCGGCACTTTGGGAGGCAGAGGCAGGCGGATCATGAGGTCAAGAGATTGAGACCATCCTGGCCAACATAGTGAAATCCCGTCTCTACTAAAAATACAAAAATTAGCTGGGTGTGATGGCGTGCACCTGTAGTCCCAGCTACTCGGGAGGCTGAGATAGGAACTTGAACCTGGGAGGTAGAGGTTGCAGTGAGCTGAGATCGTGACATTGTACTCCAGCCTGCCAACAGAGTGATACTCTGTCTCAAAAAAAAAAAAAATTAGCTAAAGAAGGAGATAGAGACGAGACATCCTGTACGTAAGCCTACAAAAAAAAAATAGCGGGGGGGGGGGGAGACTGGAGGAGGGGAGGGTAGGGAGGGGTGAGGAGCGAGATCGGCATGACTCCAGCCTGAACAGAGAAACTCTGTCTCAAAAAAAAAAAAAAAAAAAAAAGAAAAGGAAATAATAAAATTTCAAAAAGACACCTTACAGCTTTGTTATTGACTTCTAAGCAAATTACACTGTAGTCAGAGAATACAGTCTGTACAAGAAACAGATTATTGAGGCTTATTTTATGGTTTAGTACATAATTAACTTTTGTAAGTGGTTCCTGCCTGCTTAAGAATGGTTCCTGCCTGCTTAAGAATGTGTTATCGGGCCAGGCAAGGTGGCTCACACCCATAATCCCAGCACTTCGGGAGGCTGAGGCCGGCAGATCACCAGGTCAGGAGATGGAAACCATCCTGGCTAACACGGTGAAACCCCATCTCTACTAAAAATACAAAAAAAATTAGCTGGGCATGGTGGCAGGCGCCCGTAGTCCCAGCTACTTAGGAGGCTGAGGTGGCAGAATGGCACGAACCCGGGAGGCGGAGCTTGCAGTGAGCTGAGATTGTGCCACGGCACTCCAACCTGGCCGGCAGAGCGAGATTCCATCTCAAAAAAAAAAAAAAGAAAGAAAAAGGAAAAAGAATGTGTTATCGGCAGGGTGCAGTGGCTCACGCCTATAATCCCAGTACTTTGGGAGGCCAAGGTGGGCGGATCACAAAGTCAGGAGTTCGAGACCAGCCTGGCCAATATGGTGAAATCCCATCTCCACTAAAAATACAAAAATGAGCCGGGCATGGTGGCGCATGCCTGTAGTCCCAGCTACTCAGGAGGCTTGAGGCAGGAGAATCACTTAAACCTGGGAGGTGGAGGTTGCAGTGAGCTGAGATTGCGCCACTGCACTCCAGCCTGGGTGAGAGTGCGAGACTCTGTCTCAAGAAAAAACAAAGAATGTGTTATCTTCTCAAGAAATCTAAAACATTAGACCCAAGATTATATATCCAAAAAATCAAGCTTGCTAATCGTGTTATGTAAATCTTCTAAATTGTAACTACTTTATTGTCTTTTGTCCTGTAGATAAGAGACAGCTATGCTGTATCTTAATTTCTTTTATTAAATCCCTTAATAGCCTTCTTTAAACATATTAACTTTCGTTTTTTTTTGGAGACAGAGTGTCGCTCTGTCACCCAGGCTGGAGTGCAATTGCGTTATCTCAGCTCACTGCAACCTCCGCCTCCCGGGTTCAAGCGACTCTCCTGCCTCAGCCTCCTGAGTAGCTGGGACTACAGGCACATGCCACCATACCCAGCTAATTTTTGTATTTTTAGTAGAGACGGGGTTTCACCACGTTGGCCGGGCTGGTCTTGAACTCCTGACCTCAAGTGATCTACCCGCCTTGGCCTCCCAAAGTGCTGGGATTATAGGCATGGGCCACCACACCCAGCCAGAACATACTAACTTTCATTACAACTAAGGGTACTATCTTTATTGGGAAGGTTTCAGGCTACACTATGGGTGTGAGGATGCTGCAATTTTTTGGTATGGGTCTATAGCCCTGAAGATTGAGAATTCTTATGTAAGATGACTATAGTACTTTTCCTAAAATATAGAAAATATACCTGCATATGAAATAGGACTACCTGCATCCCCACTGCCCCCACACCATCTATCTCCCAACCTCTCCTAACCCTCACCTTCCCCAACCAGAAGAGCTCCACGTAAGTTCTCATGAGACAGAATCATACCTTTACCACAATGGCAACGGGAATCTGCTCTACTCTTCCCTTCTACTTAATGAGGACATGTAAAGGAATATGTTCAGGAAAAGGTAGAGCCAATGCTACTAGCCTTGATACATTTGGGTCAAGCACTCTGTTTAACAAGGCAAATCAGAATAATGAACTCTGAATTTTAAAAAAATGTTAATAACAAAGTTAAGAGTAAATCAGTGAACTCTTAATTCTTAAAGGCAGTTCCAACAATCTGAACCTCAAGAAGTTAATATCACCAGAAAGTAACATAGTATTATCTTATCTTTGTGCTTCCAATTAATGTGCCTGTTTATAGTTTTAGTAAACCTTATACTGTATGACTTAATGGCATCCAAATCCTGTTAAAACCTATACATAAATTTCACAGAAGAGTAAAATACTATGTATTATTTCCACCAGCACCTTGGATTTTTTTTCCTACCACTTACCTGAATCGCCACTGCTAGCGGGTGGGAGATCATCAAAAAGCAAAGGTCCCCCTGATCCTGAAACACAGCAGAACACTTAGTGAGCCCACAAAAACTACGTAAGGCTGAAGTTTCAGAATCCATCCCACCAGGACACCTATGTAGGTTACTGAAATAAACTCAAAACTCTCGCGTCAATCCAGTGGCAACTCATACTGCGGTGAATAATATCTTGAACCTATTTTAAAGTCCTATTATTTCAAAGGAAATAAAAATCTGCCTTAAAAAGTTAAATTGTATTTCAGGTAGTAAAATAAATACTCAAATGAACCAGAGAAAACTGCTCCACATTTTCTTGCAGTACTTCTCAGGGCTAGCGACTAGCAGATTTTTCTGCCTTACCTGATGCCATGGATTCAAAACTTAAAGACAGTCCAACACCTAAAACATCTGTGTGTTGAAAATGGGGGAAAGGGAAAAAGATTGAGACAACTACAATCCCAGGATGAGTAGAGACGTTGACACACACCTGGGAGAGCCTGAAGACTGTACCTGAGTCAGTACTGCTGGCCGGAGGGAGGTCATCAAAGAGCAGGGGTCCTTTCTGAGCTTCTTTCCCTAAAACACAGAAAAGCTGTTTAGAGAGCATATGGCCATCACCCAGGACAGATTTTCAAAGAGGAAGATCATGTGGTCTCCCCTGCTTTGAGACAAGTTTGCTATTAGATTCTAATTTTCTCCTTCCTGTTGGACAAATTTTTAAAAAATATTTTCTTAGCAGCTTTTTAAATCTGGGCATCTGTTTCCAACAGTTGCAGTCAACATAAAAGCAATGAATGATGCCCTAACAGGCATTTTCAGGGCCACTGAGTATTTTGAGGAAAACAAGTATTTTCTTGATAATTTCATTACTGAAAGCATGAAACATTTAAAAGTCTTTCTTTAAAATAGAATCCTGGGAAGCAAAAAACTGATTCTAAACCAAGAAAACAATACTTAGGATTTCAAGATGGACGTTCAGAAATTTGGGGGCGGGGGAAGAGGGGAGGAACCTTCAAAGACCTACAAGTTTGTAAAAATCCTATTTCAGTAACATTCTGCAAGGGAAGAAAATCTGTTGGAACCTGGTGTCCCTAGCCCCAGCACAGTGCTTGATTCAATAAATAGCTCTGGAGAAAATAAGGAGTTTCAGGTAAAGATAGCCTCAGGAGAAAGTCAGGAAACGCTTTTAACAAAAAATGTGAAGATTTACATTCCAAACGTATGTCTTACATGTTTTATGCCCAATTATCTTTTTCCACATAAAATTTAACCACCATTCCTTATTATCCAGCTTTTTCCTGAAATTCTATTTAAGCTATTAGATATCTGAACTGGCACACAAGAATCCAAATTAGAAGTACACATGTTCACCTCCTGCAAAATTCAACACACCAACCAAACACACCGGTTTTATCCCACCTCTTGTTCCTCAGAGTTCAAGTATAAAGATGTGCTCATTTAAGCCAGACGCAGTGGCTCATGCCTATAAACCCAACACTTTGGGAGGCTGAGGTGAGAGGACCGCTTGAGACCCGGAGTTCAAGACCAGCCTGTGCAACATGGCAAAAAAATGTCTATAAAAAAGTACAAAAATTAGCCAGGTGTGGTGGCAGGCGCCTATAGTCCAAGCTACTCAGGAGGCTGAGGTGGGAGGATCACCTGAGCCCAGGAAGGCCAAGGCTGCAGTGAGCCATGACTGGGCCACTCCAGCCTAGGCAACACAATGAAACCCTGTCTTTAAAAAAAAAAGTACTCACTTAAAAATCAATTCACTTTTTTTTTTTTTTTTTTTGAGACTGAGTCTCACTCTGTTGCCCAGGCTGGAGTGCAGTAATGTGATCTCAGCTCACTGCCTCCGCCACCGGGTTCAAGCGATTCTCTTGCTCCAGCCTCCTGAGTAGCTGAGATTACAGGCGCACACCACCAGGCCCCAAATAATTTTTGTATTTTTAGTAGAGATATGGTCTCACCATATTGACCAGGCTAGTCTTGAACTCTTGACCAAGTGTTCTGCCTGCCTCAGCCTCCCAAAGTGCTGGGATTACAGGTGTGAGCCACCATGCTCATCCTAATTTTTGTATTTTTAGTAGAGACAGGGTTTCACCACGTTGGCCAGGCTGGTCTCAAACTCCTGGCCTCAAGGGGTCCACGCTTGAGGACCCATCCCAGCCTCCCAAAGTGCTGGGATTACAGGTGAGCTACTGTGCAAGGCCAAACACCAATTCACTTAAACAAATAAATTTATATCCCCCGAGAGGCTCATCCATATCATCTTTTTGCCTCCATTTAGAAATGAGCTGGGTATCAACTTTCTTCTTTCAAACACAAAAGCTTTAATTAAAATTTATAAACTTAAGGGAATGAAATTTCTCCCAGGGTCTTTGGGTCAGAAGTACCTAAAATACACAAGAAATTCCTGAGTTAACAAAAAATAACTATTTTGCTTTATATCCCTAATACAAACGGGAAAATGTATTCTCATCTCTCAGGATGACCCTAAACAAATTAAGGAATTGCAAATACTTTCACTTTTCTTACAAGTGACATAAAGACTCTACAAGTATACAAGAAGCAGAAGAAAGCCATTAAAAAGTATTTAGTATGGCCAGGCGTGGTGGCTCACACCTATAATTCCAGCACTTTGGGAGGCCAAGGTCAGGACTGAGGTCAGGAGTTCGAGATGAGACTGACCAACATGGCGAAACCCTGTCTCTCCCAGAAAAACAAAAATTAGCTAGGCGTGGTGGTGGGTGCCTGTAGCCCCAGTTACTTGGGAGGCTGAAGCAGGAAAATAGCTTGAACCTGGGAGGCGGAGGTTGCCATGAGCTGAGATAGTGCCACTGCACTCTAGCCTGGAGGACAAAACCAGACTGTCCCCCCCCCACAAAAAAAGTATTTAGGATAACCATTACTCAATGTATTAATCCACTTACAAGAATTCCTAATATCTCGAAGTAGGTCACTTTTGCCCAAACGACACTGAATCTAACAATCAAAACGCCCGTTCTCCGGACAGACTCAAAACCACATGAGATGATCCAGCAATTACGCTGCATTCAGTGGGGTCACAGAGCCAGATGTCTTAGGACAAGGGAGGGGACATTTACAGGTAACAGCCCAACCTGAAGAGCAAACAACCCTTCCACTTGTACCAGATCATATTTTAATTTTTGAATTAACTTGCCCGTCTAAATCAGGTCTTTCCATTGTCACTGTACAATGGGGGAAGTCTTCTTTTACCCAGGTAATAAATACATTTTCAGTTCTTGCAAGCATTCCTCACAATGCAACTTCCAGCTTAGTATTAATACTAGCCTGGCCCCCTCTCCTTTGGCTACAATTCAATCAGATGGTGCCCCAAACTGAGCCCCATCCCCAGAGAACTGCCTATCACCTTCTTTCTCACTCTAGAATACTATGAGAAGTATTTCAATTAAACACAATGAGACCATCTTACATTTTGCTGGCCACAACTGGGAATGGCTTCTAAAAATGATAATACTGCCTGCCTGTCAGGCACTATTCTAAGAGCTCTATACATCTTAACTCATTTAATTCTTATGAGATAGGTACTATTATTATTTACTGATTTTTTTTTTTTTTTTTTTTTTTTGAGACGGAGTCTCGCTCTGCTGCCCAGGCTGGAGTGCAATGGCCGGATCTCAGCTCACTGCAAGCTCCGCCTCCCGGGTTCACGCCATTCTCCTGCCTCAGCCTCCCGAGTAGTTGGGACTACAGGCGCCCGCCACCTCGCCCGGCTAATTTTTTGTATTTTTAGTAGAGACGGGGTTTCACCGTGTTAGCCAGGATGGTCTCGATCTCCTGACCTTGTGATCCGCCCGTCTCGGCCTCCCAAAGTGCTGGGATTACAGGCTTGAGCCACCGCGCCCGGCCTATTTACTGATTTAAAAACTTAGGCACTGAGGTCAATTACCCATCCAAGATTACAGAGCCAGTAAGGAGTGGAGTGGGGATTCAAAGCCATGCAGTCCATGCTCTTAGTGAGGTACTATGCTGCCTCCATACATGGGCACCCTTCCAGAAACTTCACAAACATCAACTCATTTTACCCTTACAACAATCGTATGATAATCCTGAGATTGTATAAAATCTCTGGAAATATCTTTTGCATCATCAAAAGGATCTTAGAAGTTTATACACGGATTCTTAAAAAAATAAAAATAAAAATCTATAGGTCATAGATACATAAGGAAACTACCAATTAGCCAAAACCTTAGATTCTTTTTTTTTTTTTTTTTTTTGAGACGGAGTCTCCCTCTGTTGCCCAAGCTGGAGTACAGTGGCTGGACCTCAGCTCACTGCAAGCTCCGCCTCCCGGGTTTACACCATTCTCCTGCCTCAGCCTCCCGAGTAGCTGGGACTACAGGCGCCCGCCACCTCGCCCGGCTAGTTTTTTTGTATTTTTTAGTAGAGACGGGGTTTCACAGTGTTAAGCTAGGATGGTCTCGATCTCCTGACCTCGTGATCCGCCCGTCTCGGCCTCCCAAAGTGCTGGGATTACAGGCTTGAACCACCGCGCCTGGCTGATTCTTTTTTTTTTTTTAATTGAGACAAGAGTCTTGCTCTGTGAGCTAGGCTGGAGTGCAGTGGTGTGATCACAGCTCCCTGCAGCCTTACCCTTCTTGGCTCAAGCAATCCTCCCTTGTCAGACTCCCGAGTAGCTGTAACTACAGGCATACACCACCATGCCCAGCTAATTTTTTAATTTTTTGTAGAGACAGGGTCTCACTATGTTGCCCAGGTTGGTCACGAATTTCTGTACTCAAGCAATCTTCCTGCCTCAGCATCCCAAAGTGCTGGGATTACAGGTGTGACCCACTGCTCCAGGCCCTTACATTCTATTTTGAATAAACTGAAATTCAAAGCACCGGGAGCTTGCAATCATTGGACAAAGTGTGACCCTGACCTAAAAATTTGGAAGAGGCCCCTCCCCCAATCTTAAAAATACTAGAACCCTAGTGAGAAGACAAGACTAAAAATGTTTATTAATCATAGTTAATCTCACCTAGAACTACCCCCCCACCCCCACCCCAGTTATCTACATTCTGAAGCTAAGTCTACTGGAAGTTATATACTATGCTGAGAAAAATACCCTTGGGTTGGTCATATTCAGGTTAAAGGTTGCTATATCCAATAAAGTTAAAAAAGGATGTTAAAATACTTTGCTGGAACTGTTTTTTACACCTCAATTTTCTTTTCAACTATAAAATAAATCCAGGTGTTTTCCAAACGCCACACAGGTATTATCAGAAAAAGGGGACGGGTTCCACCGCACTCCTCAACCACAGTATGAGTTTAGTATGTCCTTTCCACTTTCCTTAACGCTCATGTACATGGATACATGCATTTTAATTTGTAGAAGACAGAGTCATACTCTACACAATACTCCAGATATATTGTTCACACAACCCATCAAGGCATGCTCCAGGCCAACACACTCGAGTCTAATTCATTCTCCCCAACAGCAACATATGCGAAGCATCTCCACTCCTTCGACCAGATCCTACTGATGGGTTCAAGCTTTTCCCAGTTCTTCATATGACAAGTGACGCCACAATCAACAACCTGATACATGTATTCCTGCTTAATATGCTAGACTGCTCGTCAAAGAATATTAGTTTAAATCTCATAGAAGCCAAAATTTGTTCCCCCAAAAGTTGTAATTTTCACTCCCAAAACACTTTATGAGAATGTCTATTTCTCTACACATTCACCAATGTTACCAATTGTTGCTCATCTGATAGGTGAAAAGGTAACTAGTTCCTCAGCAACTTTCTGTTGATGGGCCATTTGTATCCCTTACCTCTGGACCGATAGAATACATCCTTTGACCATTTTTCTAGTGGGTTTTATTTTTTCCTATTAATTTTGTGAGCCTTTCTCATACCCTTAGTAAGTATATTGTAAATATTTTCTCTGTCTTTTGCCTTTATAGTATCATTTGTCCTGCAGAAATTTTAAATTTTTACATAGTCAAATTCACTTTATTTTATGACTTTTTTCTTGTTCAACCCTGTAGTTTTACAATTAATCTGTTTTCCTATAATACCTTAACCTTTATTTTATGTTCAAATATTCATTTTTTTTTTAATTGTAGAGACAGGGGTCTCACGATGTTGTGCCAGGCTCTTCTCAAATTCCTGGCCTCAAGCCATCCTCATGCCTTGACCCCCCAAAGCGCTGAGATTACAAGTATGAGCCATCGAGCCCAGCCTCCAATTTTTTAAAAAGTATTTTTAAGATGGTGTGGCAAATATTTTACTTCATCCTCAACAACTTACCATCATTTTTTAATGTACTGGTGTAGCAACCAAACAAGTAAAAGAACCACCCTATAAAAGTGAAACCAAGTCACTGGCAAAGCAATTTTAAACCACGACATCTGTAACTGACATATACGGATTGTCAAATACAAGCTGCCAATCCTAAAGACATCAAGTTGGCACTTTCATGGGTATGACATAGAAAAGTTCCATTTCTGCCTGATATGAACAAACACTTCTTTTTTTCAGGTAAAATGTATATATATCTCCTTTAAAAAACTTGATTCACTCAGCAATTAAAACTTTTAAGGGCTTGATAAAACTACTAATTTAGCAAAATACCTGAAATGTTTAGTGCATTCTATGTATCTTTCCAGATTATAAAAATTTAAGAGGTTTGGGGTGGAAACATTAGCTGCAATGTTTAAAACAAAAATAAAAAGATCTAAACAAAATATTAATGCATTTGATGTGATATAAGCAGTGTAGTATTCACCCTTTGGACACTTAGTGCTTTCCCATAATTCATTTAAGACTGCATTTTTCCACTTTTAAACACCTGTTAATGGCTCAGCCAGGCACAGTGGCTTACACCTGTAATCCTAGAACTCTGGGAGGGCCAAGGTGGGCAAAACACTTGAGCCCCAGGAGTTTGAGAGCATCCTGGGCAACATGGCAAAGCCTCATCTCTACAAAACATACACAAATTAGCTGGCTGTGGTGGTGCACACCTGTAGTCCCAGCTACCCAGGAGGCTGAGGTGGAAGAATCACCTGTGCCCAGGGAGGTCGAGACTGCAGTGAGCTGTGTTTGTGTCACTGCACTCCAGCCTGGGCGACAAAATGAGGCTGTCTCAAAAATAATAACCCCGGCTAACATCTACAAAACATGATACATTCTACCCCACACCATGTGCAGCACCATACATACTGTACTGATTTGTACAGTAACAGTGGGAAGTGTCACCTCTTTTTACAGATGTAGGAATAGCCACAGAAGGCAAGAGTTAGTAAGTGAAGAGTTGGATTCTAAACCAAATAGTCTGGTTACATTTCCTGTTATTGTGCTCTGTGAAAATAACTAGGTCTTTTATTGTTCACTGCATTATGTGGTACCCACATATCATGTGTGAGGGTCATGATGCACAGTGTACGCTCATTACTCCATTCACTTTAGCAATCAATGTGATTTATTCAAAGTATGGTATTTTTTTTTAAATCACAGTATTTTCACAAATATGTGAAACCAGATTCTGTTCCTGTACAAACGATTTTAACCTGTCAAATCTCATCTTGTTTGTAGCTAACTGCCTGCAATAACTGTGGATCCCAACTGTCACTCATTTTAGTATTTAATCCCTCTCAGCTTCCAATCATCTACAAATTCTGAGATCTTCTTCGTTTTAAAGCTATTTTAAAAAATACACTCAGCCAAGCAGGACCTGTTGACAATTGTCAGGGTCCTCCTGGCAGATGGGGAGCAGTTAATCAATCCATTTTCGGGGGGTCGGCAGTTTAAACACACATGCACCCCCTCTGCCACCCTTTCAGCTCAGTCGAGGTTGGAAACTGAGTTTGGAAAAAACGGCTACAGGACGTACCTTTCCCACTGTATCTGGCAAAAGGCTGCTAACGTGCCACCTTAAGAGATTTTGAGTTGCCAGGTTTTTTGTCAGTAAAGGGAGCCTACCCCCGAGCAGAACCTAATTGCAGGTAAAAGGCAAGGGAGACTTTAAAACTCATAGGTTTACAGGCACACCAGTGAATCCAAACACTGCTCCAAATATATTGATAGAAATTATACTCCACCAACAGAGAAAAAAGACTGCTACACAATGTCAATTTTTACCCACAGCTAGAACCGTGGTTATTTTGAAAATGAATGGCTGAGTCAAGTTCAAAGACTCCAGGATCAGTTACTGAGATGCTCTGTACCATCAGAATGGTCAGTGGGGGCAGGGCGCGTTGGCTCACACCTGTAAGTGCCGAGGCGCGCAGATCACCTGAGGTCAGGAGTTCAACCAGCCTACCCAACATAGTGAAACCCCGTCTCTACTAAAAATACAAAATTTAGCCAGGTGTGGTGATCGGAGCCTATAATCTCAGCTACGAGGGAGGCTGAGGCAGGAGAATTGTCTGAACCTGGAGGTTGCAGTGAGCTGAGATCTCGCCGTTGCACTCCAGCCTGGACGAGAGCGAGACTCCGTCTCAAAAAATAAAATAAAATAAAATAAAATGTTTTCTTGCCCAGAATTACCGCAAATCACAAGGCTGCTCATCTTTAGAAGCTTAATTCAAACACTGCCTCCTTCCCCAGTCTCTCGGTGCGCGACAATCCCTCCTCAAGAGTCCTCAGCATTTCCCACAGTCATTAACTTTTGCCAGTTTTAATTACCGTAATTAGCACCCTTCAGAAAGCAGCTCTTAGAAAACGAAGGCTGGGCCTTACTCACCTCCGTCTGCCCTACAACAGCAGTTCCCAAACCACTGGTCTCCAGCCTCCGCTGGGTTGGCCTGGGGATTCAGTAACAGATTCGGAAACCCCACTCTCAGGGATTCGGATTTATTGGGGCTGAGGTGGGCCTGGAAATCTGAATGTCTTAAGTTTTCCAGGTTTTCTGCCCCCAAGTTAAGTTTGGTAATAAGGCCCTAAACTACAACATCAAGCTGGAACTCTTGCATAGGAAATATTCACGCGTTTTGACAAATGAAACCCGGAGACTGTAACCCACGGGACGCAGGGATTAACCCGGGCCGTTTCACGCTGCTAGGATGCTGAGCGCAAACCACAGCCCACAGGGCCTCCCACTGGCAGGGGCCAGGGCTCAGCAGATGAGCGGACCCCTTAACTTTAGGGAGAGGGGGAACTTCCCGTGGTCCAGGAAAAAAAAAAAACTACTGTTAATTATCACAAAATCATAGGATGGCGGAGGACGCATCCTGTCTTCCAGGCTTCAAAAACGCGAAGGATTAAGATGGTGATTAATTCAATCTCCTGTGCAAAAAAACGCCAAGCCCCTGAACTTGCACCGGCCCTGAACGCTGCCGTTCCACAGCCCGCGGGTGAAGCGCGGCCCGGAAGCCGGGGGCTGGCGGCGCGCAGGGCACCCCGGGCCGCGGGTGGAATCGTGTGGCACGGGGGTCCGCAGGGCCGCCGGACGTTCAGAGCTGGTCCCTCGGGTCGGCCCACGCGGCCGCGCCAGGGCCTTCCACCGCCACGCAGAGGGGCTGTGGCCGGGGCGGCGCTGCCCTTTCCTTCCTGCGTAGCGAAAATGGCGGAGCGGCCTCCCCGAGCTCCGCGAGCAACTGGGCCTCTCGCGGGGCGGCCAGTGGGCCGGACAGGGCCGGGCCAGGCAGGAGCAGGTCCCGTGCTGCCCGCGCCGCCCGCCGCCTCCCAGCGCGGGCACCGCCTCAGCCGCCCCAGGCCTCAGGCCGCCGCCATCCCGCCCGCCCTCCCTTCCCTGGCCTGCCCGGCGGCAACACCGCTTACCGGCAGCCGGGCGCGGCGAGCGCTCGGGCTCCGGCAGGTCCCCAAACAGGTCCATGGCGGAGGCTGGGCGGCGACGGCAGCAGCGGCAGACGCTCAGCCCGCGAGTAGCGGCGGGGCTCCACACCCCGGGCGGGCGGCGGCGGCGGCGGGCGGGCGACACGCAGGGGCTGCCGGCCCCGTCAGTCACCTGCAGGGAGAGCCCCGGACGCCACCAATCCGCGCGCGTCGTGGCCCGGCCGCCCCAGAGGGCTGCGCGCGGGCGGGGCGGGGCGGCTGGAGCGGCGGGGCGAAGGGAGGGGCGGGGCAGTGCGCATGCGCCTAGACCCCTCCCTCCCGGACAGCGAGCCCGGCTGGCGGTGCCGCCTGGGCCCTGCGGTGTTTCCCGCCTTGGCGAATCCCGGGCCCGTCGTGCTTTTTCCTTGGCCGGGGTGACTGATTTCTGTCAAGTTTCGTTGAGTTCCTGTCCAAGAAGGCCTGTCCTGTCAATCCAAGGGCAGCCCCTGATGCCTGGGAAGGCTTTCTGGAGCTCTTGCCATCTCTTCGCCTCCTCCTTTCACCACGGCGTGCCTGGTTCCTGGGCTGTTTTAGAGGCTGAAAAACCGAGGCTTGGATGGAGTGGCCCTGGGCGTCAGGACGGAAACTCCAAAAGATGCTGGAGGGAAAGGAGGCATTCCCTGACCTGTCTGCACCCACTGGTCTCTGTGGGGAGCGGAGAAGAGGGACTCCTCCTTGATGGTGTCCCCCTCTATGGCTATAAAGAGAAAGGCGGCCACTGACATCGGGGACCTGGCCTGGTTCTGCAGCCGGGACTTGGGGTTGGTCTGGCACAAACAGCTAGTCCTGAGTGTTCTCTTTGAATATGGACAATTTCATAAAACACCAACATCAGGCCATAATACATATCAAGACCAAAAAAACAGACCACTGTGTAATCAAGTCTGAACATAGACAAAACAGGAACACTGTCCAAGCCGCAAAAGTGACCAAACTTCCCTCGTCTCGGCCAGTAAGAGTGATTGCTGCTTCTTTACCATTACATGTTTAGCCTTTGTCTAGTCTTCCTGCCATCTAGATAAGCTTCATCAAGATATCCAATCATGGAATCCTCCTCTTCCTGACATCCAGTCCAGAGCAAAGCCCCGTTTCCATAAATGTTTCCGCAAATCAACTAACACAAACCCAAATCTTACGCGTCCGTTCCAATACCCTTTACCCAAGTTCCCCAGGTTATGTGGTCTCTCTCTATGCAAAGAGTTCAGCCCAATTCATTCCAGGTCAGATGTGTTTCTGGCGCTCTCTGGCTGTAGGACATGGAGGGAGCCCAACAAGGCTTCATGCCTCTCATCTACATGGCTTCTCACTAGCAACTCTTTGAGATCTTCATGCTGCCTCCTCCATTACAGCAGAAACACTCAAGTAACAATGCTTGTAAGAGTTAAAGAGGAAAGGAATACAAAAAGAGGCTCAACATTCAAAGACAGGTTTATTTCAGAGAATAAACCTGAGAGGGGATTCTGGCCAATTTTGATCAGGAGCACTCTCTCTTACAGACTAAGCGTTCTCTCTTACAGAATAAGGATACTTAAGGGTTTTGGAAGTGGGGGAAAGTTTATTGCAGGGTTGGAATGTCTCTGGTTGGAGGGGAGGCTATTTCGGGGTTAACATGTTTCTTGTTGAAGAGGGGTTTATCTTAGGGTTGGAATGCTTCCGATTATGCTGACATTAGCCATTAGGCTGATGTTTTGGGGTGGGATTTAGGTGGTTTTTTAATCAAGGGGAACTTAGAATGGTGGTGTTTGTCCAAGATGGCGATGCTCCTGTTCTGTCAATCCAGTCTCTACAGTTATGAAAAGGACTAGGGGCAGCACGTTTTTTCTGGCTACTTCCTGCTGGGGGAGCGAGCAGAGAGTTCTTTGGTTTCAGATTGATTGTAGGAGTAACGCTGTCTGTAGATATTTTTGGGTAATTGTCTGTGAGATGGCCATGATCCTGCTGGTTAAAAATCTTTGAAAAAGGTTAATTAAGCAGGGTAAGAACATTATTCCTAGGCATATTTTTAGGAGAGGGCCCAGGAATGGGATGACCCATGTTAGGACTTTGTTTTAAAACCAAGAATTTATTTGGTTGTCTTGCTATTCTCTTAGCTTTTTAGCCCTCTCTTTTTTTTTTGTTTTTTTTTTTTGAGACAGAGTCTCACTCTGTCCCCCAGGCTAGAGTGCAGTGGTGTGATCTTGGCTCACTGCAAGCTCCGCCTCCCGGGTTCATGCCATTCTCCTGCCTCAGGCTCCCGAGTAGCTGGCGCCCACCACCATGCCCGCCACCACGCCCAGCTAATTTTTTGTATTTTTTAGTAGAGACGGGGTTTCACTGGTTGGCCAGGATGGTCTCGATCTCCTGACCTCATGATCCGCCCGCCTCGGCCTCCCAAAGTGCTGGGATTACAGGCGTGAGCCACCGAGCCCGGCCTTAGCCCTTTCTTTAAGTTTTTTTAGCAGCGTCTCTTACTGGACCTGATTGGTTGAGATAGAAGCAACATTTTTTACCCAATGAGAAGCAGAGGTCCCCTTTTTCAGATGTTATAACATCTAATTCCCATCTATTTTGGAGGACTACTCCAGCCAAAGAGTCTAGTTGGTCGTGGACTCTTATTAGGCTTTGGGCCATATCTTCTAACGAATTCTGCAGTTCTGTTGAAAGAGCTTTCAAGTATGTTAAACAGGTGACAAATCCACTTGCTCCCATCCCAAGCCTGGAGATTATACCTAGGGCAGCCATCAAAGGAATGACGTGGATGACCCTCCTCTTCCTAACATATTGGATGGTTGGAACAGGTAAAGATTGATTAGGAGGAACTAGTCCAATGGAGGGAGAAAGATAAACTAGGGTACAGATTCCGGTCTAGTTGGTGGGGAGGCTAAGATATATGTGTTGAGGCCACACAAAAATAACAAGCCTTTGTTGTAAATACAAGCGGAGATGTGGACAGAAAATAAGTGAATTAAAGATGAGGTGTTTGTTCTTTCCTCTGGTTCATTACTCCAAGTGGACAAGGAGGAGGCCAGGGAGACACCTACTATACTAGAGGTATAGGAAGAGTTATTTTTTACAGATTAATGCGGTCGGATGTTGCAGCATTGATATTGAGCCACGGAAAAAGATGGGCACTAGGAGCAGCACAGTTTAGGCCAGAGGCATTGACTGAGGGAGAGGCTGTCAAACGAGCCAGCTGCAGAAATGCTCCATTTGCTTCAGGTGATACTTGGTAGTTAACCCGATTAGTTTGATGGTCAGAGGGGCGTTCAACAATGATAGTTCAATTGCATAGGTTAGATGTTAAGGACCCTACAGGGAAATTTCCGTCCGAGGCTGAAAAGCGAAGTGAGGCTTGTTGTAAGAGGGGGTTGTGTTTAGTTATGAACCCTTCGATGGGAGGGCCCTGGGGCTTAAGGCACTGTAGGGAGTTATCATAGGTTTGAAATAATTTGTTGGCCTGATTGGCCCTGGAAGTGGGATAATCGCTGACCAGAGTGTCAGCTCTTTCAAAAAAGGAAGCTCCTTTTTGGAGTTTGTAAAGTAGGGTTGTGTTTCCTGTTAAAAGGTCATGAAGGAATGTGGGAAGGGCTGTGGAAGCTGAGGAAGACAGCGATAAGCACATCCAGCACTGCAGAGCAAAGGAAGAGTTAGCCTCAAGAGAGATTGTGTAAGGTTTATAGAGCGTTCTAGTTTGAGACCAATGAGGAGTGGTTGTATTGATGAGGTTGATGTGATTAGGGAATTTATATTGAAAGAAACAAGCAAAAAGAGAAAAAAGTTATTTGGGTAGGAGTAAAGTCCTGGAAAATTCTTTGAACTTAACCAGCAGGATCATGGCCATCTCACAGACAATTACCCAAAGTTCCCATAGAGCAGTAATGAGCTGATCAGGATGTATAATGGGAGCTTCATAAGGGTACCACTGAAGGTGTGTAACAAGGTTAGTTAGGAAGTGATGAAAGTTTGGGAGAGAAAGAGATATAAGCGGCTTATGTAGATTTCTCCTCCTTTTCCTCGGAGATTCAGGTGAGGCGAAGGGAAGTGTGTCCTGGGAGACACAAGAGAAGGCTGAAGGGGTTTTAGAATTGGTTGTTTGGGTATGTGGTGAAGGGAAGTCTGTTTTCTTGAGAGAAGTACAATGAAACCAGTTGGGGAGTCCCTGGAGTTTTGCTGCTGTGGATGTGGTAAGGATGATCTGGTAAGGTCATCAAACATTTAGGTGTGAAGGGGGAATTTAGGGGTAGGACTGGGATCTTTTACCAGAACCCAGTCTCCTGGCTGTAGGAAGGGATTAGAGGAATCGGTGATGGGTTGTGGCAGGTATTTGTCAGCATATTCCCAAATGAAATGGCAGATGGTATGTACAAGAGGAGAAATGAGAGGGGTTGACCCTGAGGTGGAGCAGAAGGGGCAAATGGTCTCCCATACATGAGTTCAAAGGGGCTGAGCATTAGAGATTTACATTGGAGCACCCGAATTTTTAGAAGGGCTAAAGGCAAAAGTGTAACCCAGTCTTTATGTGTTTGGTGTGGGTACCTGGTGAGGGTGTTTCTGTAGAATGCCATTCATTTATTCAACCTTTCCTGAAGATTGAGGTGGAGAGGGGAGGTGCAACTTCCAGGCGATTTGCAGGGCTTGTGCAAGTGTTTGAATAATTTGAGAAGTGAATTCAGGGCCTTTATCAGATTGAAAAGACAGAGGTACCCCGAAGCTGGGGATGATTTCTATTATTAATTTGTACAGTAGAAGCTCGTTTGTTGGTTGTGGGAAAGGCCTCGACCCATCCCAAGAAAATATCAACCAGAACTAAAAGAAATCGAACACTTTTTACTGGGGGCATATGGGTAAAACCAATTTGCCAGTCCTGTTCTGGAAGGTGTCACTTGGCTTGATGGATTAGGAAAGAAGGGGGTCTAGTGTTGAAGTGGGGTGAAGCTTTTTTACAAATAAAGCATTGACGGGAAATGGCTTTTAACTGTTTCTTTGTATCTGGGGTTATGTGTATACGGGGACTTAAGAAATGCTGCAGAGGGGAATGGCTAGTGTGGAAGAGGTTGTGAATGACCAATAGAAGAATTGTTTTTTCAGGGTCAAGTAGAACTGATTTGTTTTGTACGAACCAGTATGGGGGTTTAAATTGTGTCCCCACTGTGATTAGTTGTTGTGTTTGGTGTTCTGGATTAAAGGAGGGGACATGTTGTGTGAAGAGAAATAAGTGTTGGGGAAT